TTTATACTCCATAGTTAATGCAGACATCGCAGAGGCCAAGCAGGCTACTGCATGAAGCAGTCAGTCCAACACTGTAGATTTGGATAAGCTGGAGAGTATGTAACCTACTTAAAAGCATTGAAGTTTGGGTTGGTTGTTGTTTTAACATTGGGCAGGGGAGACAGGGAATGGGAAGACATTTGTGGGCTTCATTTGGCTTTTTGTGCTGTAGTTTGCTTAATGCTCTATAGAGAAAAGGAGACAGTAAGATTTTACTATATAGAGCTGTTGAATCCTAACATTCCAGAGACAGAAGGGGCACTAAAAATTCTCTAAACTGAGACCCAGAGAAAGGAAGTGTTTTACCTAAATTAATCTCCAAATGACTACTTCTTTATTTCTTCTAAGTGGGTATTAAAGACAGGGGGATTTGGAGATTTTTCTAAAGAGGGTATTTCTGTGTTTTTCCAATACAGTGACCATTACCACATGTACTTATTGAGTACTTGAAACATGTCTAGTGCTATGGAGGAACTGAATTTTAAGTTTTATTTCATTTTAATTCATTTAAATAGCCCCACGTGGCCAGTAGGTACCCTGTTGGACAGAGAATCTCAGGTATTACAATTTTCATTCCTTATCACAGTCTACCTGGAAGAAACATGAGCATCAGTCAATTTTACCTTCTCATAGAGAATATTTTAAACTGCTCATCTCCAAAATACAAGTTCAGTAATATTTTTTATGTTCATTCAGGTCAGTCTCATGGTGGTTCAGGTAGCGTGATTATTTTATGAATGGAGAGCAATGATGCTTTCAGTGGTACAAGCTCCTCCAGTAAATCCAATCTTAGGCCAGCCCTTCAGGACATTATCTTGCTAGATTTGTGGTTCCCTGCTAACTGCTTCATTCTTTTATGGAGCAGGAAAGTGCTGAATGCCTGTTGCATACTCTCTCCTCCCCCCAATATATTGGAAAAGAGAGGAAATGTTAGCCAAAACCCATTTTGCAGTTTGTGACCCAATAAAAAGGGCCACGGATCAAGGATATGATTCATTCTGGGCCATTGTGAAAACAAAGGCTCGCTTTATAAACTGGAATGCTGTGCTCCCAGGATGGTTCTGAGCACCCCTGTGGGAAGGACAGAGAAGTGCAGGAAGGAACTTTTCTCCCCATGAATCCATTCATCATGCTCACGCTGACATGGAGAATTCCAGCTTGCAGCATCGGTTTTGATTTTCTCTTATGCTTCCTGTGGTTTCTGACTCTCAGGACGATCCTCACACAGTCAACAGTGGAGTATTTCTACAATTTATAATTTCTCAAATTATTTCAATAAAGGGAATATGGCTATTCCCATTCTAAAGGTACTTTGAAAGTTTGAAACTGAAAACTCTAGACGCGGGTATTGCATCTGCATTGGTGTAGGCCTGTGAGCTTGTGTTCTTCATTGGTGTCTTGGTGAATGCTTGCATCTTAAGTTAAATTATTCAAGAAAAGTAAACCTAACAATGTTAGTAATTTTTAAATAAAATAATCCCTAAATGTCTAATACTATTCTGACCAAGGACAATCTATTTTTTTTTAAGGACAATCTATTTTTAAAAGGTCCGCTCTATGTTGTTTGTTTTCTTTTGGTTTGATTGGGATAGGGAAACACCTAATGGGAAAAAAATCTTACATAACTTTCTTTGAAACTTTTTTTTTATTATTCTACAAGAGTAAGCATTTCTAATATGTTTGGCCTGGAATTTTCTTTGTTGGGATATTACAATTGAAGGCAGCAAGTAAGAAATAAAAAAATAATTGTGTCCAACAAATGTCTGTTTGTGTGTTAAGACCAGGACTTGTACATCCTTGCCAATATCTCTTCTCTTCCCAGACAGGGTTAATACTTAGGATGCTGAGATGTTGCCCAGGAGGCAAAGAGACCGAGGGAGGGATTTATGCCTCCTGAAAAGGCCTGGGCTCTTTGCTCTTGTTCCACTGATTTCTTAGGTGTCAGACTATAGATCCACTCAGACTGGAGTTTTTCCCCTGCGAACCTGATAGAACTGTGGATCTATTTGCTGCCTAACAATATGGTCTTCTCCAGTGCCACACTGGATATGCTTGGAGAGAAGGAATAGATCACAAACCTTTATATACTCCATTTTTCACTGTATTTCATTTTCCTCGTTGCTTGGTTTATTCCACAAATACTTAATTGGGAACATTATGCTGGTGAAACACAATTGTAATAATAATAATAAAGTAGGAGTAATAATCTCCTACTTCCTATTCATTTGAAATTATATATTATAATACCATCAATCTTGATAGAAAAGATTATATAAATAGTATTTCACTGAAATAATTCCAGTATTGATGGTGTTCATCGATATCAGGGATTCTAAGTTAAAAATGAATTAAAATTGCTATATTACCCAGCCAGTGTGGCTCAGTGTTTGAGGGCACAGTTCAATTCCCGGTCAGGGCACATGCCCGGGTTTCGGGCTCCTTCCCTAGTAGGGGTGTGCAGGAGGCAACCAATCAATCATTCTCCCTCATCATTGATATTTCTCTCTCTCTATCCCTCTCCCTTTCTCTCTGAAATCAATAAAAATATTTTTTAAAATGTTATATTATGTTGATTAAAGGAATTCAATGTAACAGTAGTTCCTAATAGTACAAAATTCAATATTATAGCTGTTAATGCAAAAAAAGAAAAAATTCAACCCTAGTTGTTTCCTCCTTCTCAACTACCAGTGTCATCTTCCAACTTTTGTGATGCCTCCCCTGGGAACCACATATCTTATCCAATTTTACTTTCAGGATAAATTGCATGGAGGTAATAATAGAAAGCTAATGTCAGTCTGAGAGGAGATATTATAATGGGAAAGTACTCCACTGGAAAGAATTTTCAGAGTTTTATAGGTATCAAAAATATACTTATGTTATTGTACTTAACCCTTCTTACTACTTGGAGTTTCTATGTGAAAGGAATTTACAGTACATTCCTTTTTCTGATATGCCGTGAAATGCAAATTCTAATATAAGACTTGCCCTTTAACTGCTAAATCTTCACCACTGACCTGGAAGTTCCTGCAGTGCAAGGGCTTGTGTTTACTGGCCATGTCCCCAACATCTAATCTGGCACAGAGTTCTGGACTCCTGGATTATTCGTTGAGTGCATTGATTTTGTGACTGCACAATTACATGCATGTATATGGTACCTTATAGCTTTCAAAGCATTTTCACTTAGGTTATTTTATTTGGCTATAACAATAATAGGTTATTTTATTTGGCTATAACAATAATTCTACGAGAAAGATAGGACAGATGTTTTAATCAATGAATAAAATTTCAGTTCAAGTGGGTTGTAGCAGACCCAAGATAGGAGGAGGTCAAGGTCATAATAGTCCATTGGTTTTTTTTTATTCAATTATTATCATTCAACAAATAGTTATTATTATAGACCAGTCACTATGCTAAGTTTTTTAACTGGATTATCTTACTTAACCCTTGCAACAACCCCATGATACAGAACTATTTTTATCCCCATTTTAGAGATGAAGAAAATGAGGCACAACAAAGTTAGGTGACTTGTGCGAGGCAACACAGCTAGTGTCAGCACTGGGATTTAGGTTCCAGCAGTGAGGTCACTGCCTAAGCTCTCAATATGGCTTAACGGTTTTAGGGTGACCCTCTAAAAAATATGGCAGTGTGCACACATAAATCAAATAATTGCCATGGTGATTTCTTAATGCCTTTATTAAATTAATTGTTGTTATAATAAATGCATTTTGTATGTCTCTGTAAGTTTATTAGCCAGAGATTATTGTTATAGGTTATAGATAAAAAGACAATACAAGATAAAAAGAAAAAAATTTAGAATAAAGTAGTCACACAAGTTGCCAAAACTAGAAGAGAGGCAGATTATCATTCTTCTGTGATAGAATAAGGTGCCTCCCAGGTGACGGAGAATGAGTCTGAGAAAAATATATTCAAGGCAACTGAATATGTGTCATGTCTCGTAAAAGATGCTGCAGTCAGAAAAGAGCCTACCACCGCCACCAAATGGGATGATCACAGCAGAGGGAAACCTCATTGGAACTCAGCAGTGTGTCTTTTTGGAAAAAAAAAAATATATATTTTATTGATTTTTTACAGAGAGGAAGGGAGAGGGATAGAGAGTTAGAAACATCGATGAGAGAGAAACATCTGCCTCCTGCACACTCCCCACTGGGGATGTGCCCACAACCAAGGTACATGCCCTTGAGCGGAATCAAACCCGGGACCCTTGAGTCCGCAGGCTGATGCTCTATCCACTGAGCCAAACCGGTTAGGGCAGCAGTGTGGCTTTTTAATGAAGATTCCTACCTGCCTATTTACCATATAAATGTCTGGACTTCTGTCTGCAGCTTGAGCTCTCTTCAGCTACTTATTAATGAGTGCACCTCACCCTATCTCAACTATCCAGGGTAGATGAAAACACACTAAACTTTAAGAGAGTAGAAGCCTAGAGAGAGTTCTACTACCAATAAGCTACAGTAATTGAGGGTATGACGACTATTTATGTGGGACGAATATGTTAAAATCAACATTGTTTTAAATGGAGTCTCATTTATATATGCAAAACAGGGAAATAATGAAGGAGGAAGGGTAGACTAGAACCATTAACATTATTTATAGCCTGTGAAAACCAAAGGCTAAATGTCACGATGATAACAGAGAGACCATTGGACCTTGACTGTCCATCTTGGCAAGTAATATGCTGAGGTGGCCTTGGGCAAGTCTTATCACCTCTCAATCGTCATTGCCATGGTGGTCATACTCTATAGGTTGAATTTTAAATCACATCTCATCATACTTACGATAAATAGGTAAATTCATCACATGCTTTTTAAATGTTTTTTAAGTACATGAATAAATATGTGTCTGATGTGTCATATAAACTTATTTAACATTTTGGTACTTCTGCTGAAAGTTATTCTCACACCCAAAGTCATCTTTCCTTACTCAAATTTTCTCTTTCATAGAGCAAATTGGCCAAGAGATGTTGGAAAACCTCAGTCACGACAGAGAAAAGATACAGAGAGCACGTGAAAGAGTAAGTACAAGTGATATCATCTTTTCACAAATTCAATAAATGATAAGACATGAAACTAAGGGTCTTTGTGACAGTCACAATCACATAGATGTAAGTATATATGAAAACTAGAAGCCCGGTGCACAGATTCGTGCACCAGTGGGGTCCCTCGGCCTGGCCTGTGCCCTCTTGCAATCCGGACCCCTCATGGGATGTCGGAGAGCTGGTTTCAGCCTGATCCCCGCAGACCAGGCTGAGGGACCCCACCGGTGCATGGGGCCTCTAGATCTTTGGTTAATCTCTTCCCACCCTCCCCCCTTCCCTCTGAGATGCATCAGTCTGTTCCATGTTTCCATGCCTGTGGTTTCCGCTCCTGCATTGAGCGTCTGCCCCCTGATGGTCAGTGCACATCATAGTTACCGGACGGTCACTTCGGCTTTTCTATATATAGATGACTAGGAGGATAGAGGGATGAAGGGATAGAAGACGAAACAGAAGAGTGTGGGATCTAGAAAAAATAAGTTGCCTCTTCATGCCCCCATCCTGAAATGCTCCCACATCGACATTTTATTTAGCTCTATTGCTGAAAAGGTCATTGAGGGAGATTTTGAAGTATATCAGGTTTTGGAGTGAAATCTAAAAACATTGGTCTCATCCTTCCTCAAGTCACTCTGCTTCCATTTATAGTACCAGAACTTTGCACATTCACAAATAGGAAAACTAATAAATTACCGATATATATCAAACTTTATCAGCCTTTGAGACATTTGCTTTTATATCCAGTTCAAGTATCCAGTTTAAAGCTCCTCGGATTATCAATCTCATGTAGTTTTCTAAACCTAAGAATTTCCAGAGATGGATCATGTGTCAAAAATGTATTTCAGTGCATTTTTTATGAATTAGATTTTCTATCGTGAAAGAAAATTATTGTTTGCCAGTGCACTTTAAAAAATAATCCAATAGCCTTCAGTTTTGTTTTATTTTAATGCTGCTCTTCTTCTCCTAGCTTCGAGAAACAGACGCTAACTTGGGGAAAAGCTCCAGGGTCCTGACGGGGATGTTGCGAAGGTAAGAGCAAGGTAGGGACCCAACTTTCTCTCTCTCCCTTTTTTTAACTGTGTTTCTCCTCTTGTTGCAACCGGGCATTTTTCAAGCATGCAGGCTTCTGCTCTCAGTACCCTGTGTCAAGACCCTTTTGAAATGCCAGAGCACTGATATTAACTCTTGTTTGGACAGGGACACGTTCTGCACACCTTAGATTAGAGAGAAGGTTTGAGCTAGAGGGGTTACCTCAAGCTATGGGAAAAAATTAGGGTTAGACATGAAGTATTTTTTCATAGCCTGAGGAAGGCCCCATGGCAGGAGCTGCGTGATTTTATTTTCTATTCCGGTAGTCTCTTTCTTAGAGAGGGAATGCAGGCCTGCAGTATCGTGAGCACCCCTGGTATTAGCTCTGCGCCGTTGCCTTTGTTTTCATTTCTTTTTTAAGTGATGCTATTTGGGGCAATATCTCGATTTTATGTATACTTCAAGATGGGTTTTGTAATTTAAAGCAATCTGGATAATCTGAATTCACATGTGTGAGCAAACAAATGTTAATGTTTTATATGTGTAATTAAACTTTGATGGAACATACTTGGGAGAGCTTGGAAAGAAATGAATGAGTGCAGGTAATTTTGTTTCCATTGGTCTGAAAATTGGAGCCATTTTCCTTTGGTATATTCAGCATGTAATTATTTTACATTCAGAGTCTAACAAATAAGAGCATTATGAAGCATAACCTTCCATTTGGAGCTGTGGATAGAAATGTGAGTGGGGGAGGGGGGAGGTTGAGAATTGCCTCTAGAATAACTTAATTGGAATTTAAAGAAGAGAATCATTTTTCTCATTGATATTGTAGAGACAACTGTTTGAAAATAAGTCTTCTCTGATCGTGTGTCAATAGATAATAATTTGCTGAAAGTATGTTTGCTGGGTTAGAGATTGATCGCGTAAGAACCAATCAAAGGTGGGGTTGCTGAGTCTCCAAGGCAGAGGTGATTTCTCTATCAGGCTGATCAGCAGGGAGTCTCAAGCTCTGGGCACTTTCAGCCAGTGTTGACCCAACTCCACACGCCCCTCCTTTTCCTGCACATATCGTCGTGATTCAGGACCATAAACCACCCAATTCTCTGTTTAAGAGTAATACATACATGACCTAGAAAAACTCAAAATCCACAGAGAAGTGGCTAGTGAAAGGAATGCTTCACTGCCTATAGACAATAAGAAAGAAAAAAAGGGAACACCCTCCCTGGCTTCCCTGGGAGGCCCCGCCATGTGAGCTGTAACGAGCATTCTGCATATGTCTCCATTTCGTCAAATCTCATTAAAGAGTCCTCCTCTTCATGTCAATGGAGCTGTCTAGGAATCATTCATCATTTTTAGTGTAAAAAAAAATCATGTGGTTATTTAAATAATATCATATTAATGTTAAAGTTCAGCTGTCATTTAATGGTATGGCTTAATCAGATGTAGCATTTAGGAAAAATAGTTTATTCGGGCCGTCCATGGCTTTCAGGTTGGCAGATTCAAATCAGGATTTATGAGTTTCTAAACCAGTGTGTTTCTGTCTGTGTTTCTGCTTGATGTACCTCACCCTTCTGTGCAGGGCACCGCCGACAGTTATTTCAACAAATAAAGCATCTCCTCATATTGTGTTTGAATAAATTTGCAAATCATTTAGAGAGGGTGAAGCACAAACAACTTCTGCAACCTCTGACGGGGCTTTCTGTAGGGAAATCAGACTAACGCGGTTGTTTCAAAAGCCCGCAAAAGAAAATTACTCCGCTGAAATCTACTTGAGGTTCCGTTTGCAGGCAAACTCAGCTCATCACTGACACGTCTCCTTGTGGGATCCGGCTAGAGTATGAAAAAAAATATCAGGAATAAAAATCCCCAGATGGACATCACCTTGCTATGGATGTCTGGCCCGAGGAAACTCTTAAGTCCACCTGTGTGTAGTGGTGACTGTGTTTTTCTCTAGGCCAGCGGTTCTCAACCTGTGGGTCGCGACCCCTTTGGGGGTCGAACGACCCTTTCACAGGGGTCGCCTAAGACCATCGGAAAGCACATATATAATTACATATTGTTTTTGTGATTAATCACTATGCTTTAATTATCTTCAGTTTGTAACAATGAAATTGGGGGTCACCACAACATGAGGAACTGTATTAAAGGGTCACGGCATTAGGAAGGTTGAGAACCACTGCTGTAGGCACAACCGGCATCTTGTGATCAGCCAAGGTACCCAGGTACTTTCAATCAGTAATGGAACCTGTGAGTCTTTGGAACCACATGCAGATGGTGGGTGGGTGTTAGTGTCTAAGTACTATCCCACATGATAGACAATTTCTGTTGGAATTGGGAAAAGGCAAAAATATTTTACCTACTTAATTATTTCTTACCATTGCCTGGGAAAACAGTGTCTAGGGAAATGGGACCCGGCTTAATGTGCGGGAGTCTTTCGTTCAGATGCTCTGATTTTGCTCCCTCTGGTCTGTCCTCCCGTTTTCATGGCATTCACTCCCAACCTGCTGAGGTTTTATTCCAGAAGTCTCATTCTCTTACCCAAACTGCTCGGCGCCAGCGTATATCTACAGGTGCTTCTGATTTAGGAAAAGTTGACTATTGAACAGTGTGCTCATCTGTCACCCTCATGAATGTGTGAGAGAAATGAATGTCCTCTTTGTGCAGCGGAGGTGTTTGCCTGCATGCACCATAAGCTTACTTGTTGCCACATGATCACTTCTGTGTGACTGAGAATAGGTGAATAGTCTATAACATACCAAACCAAGGAACTGTTTTCTTTAAAAGAAAGATTGCTGATTATTTTTAATTGTTTAAACTTAGGTTGTTTTTAAATTTGTAAAATGAACAGAAATGGGCATGTCGTGGCCCCTTTGTTGGGTCATTTTACTTATTTTGACTAGTATACTGGGAAGACAGGTGAAACCAAAGTTCTACCAGTGCCAATGTCTGCACGTATATCCCCCTGATTCTCTGTAAAACTGGTCAAAAGCAGATAGGAAATGAAATGAGTAAGTGGCAGCCACTACCATTTATGCTTTTAAATCCTTTAACTTCAAATGAAAATTTTAAAATCTATTTTCTTCCTTCTTCTTTTTTTGGGGGGCTGGGGGGGGTGCTTATTCGCTCTCTAGTAAATATTTAATGTCTATATACAAGGCCTTGGGGATCCTCAAATGAAACCAGTTTGATTCTTGCCTTCAGATTGCTCTAGTCTAGTAGAGAATATGTTCCTCTAACATGCTGTGGGAATTCGTAAAATCATCTCATTCTCAAGGAAGCTGTGGAAGATTCTGCAACTCCCACGAACCCTTACTGGTGATGAAAAAGGGTGCCAGGAAAACAAATAACCAATAGAAAATACGAGTTCAATTGCTGTAACGCCACTATGTTTGGGAAATATAGAGACATGGAGGATGATATGGAATCATAAGAGAACCAAGTTTTGAAAGAACAAAAGTATGCAGAAAAATTAGATGAGACACATCTAATTTAGTGAGGTAGCAACTGATTCAACCAACGTAAATAAATAAATTACTCTTCATGTAGCTACATGATATTACCAGAAGTGAAAACAAAGACATTTGGTCCATTCAAAATTGTAACAGTGAAATATGACATCAGAATACAGATAGCGCTGATTTCCTGTATTTTTCTTCTGTCTTGACGTAAGATAGAGAGCTACCTAGGGACAAATGTTCATTTCCTGACTCTGTAGACAGAGTTTAAATAAAGTGGTGTTTCAGACAACGAAAACGCTCATGAAACAAATGACCACTTGTGTGGTGATTGGGGTGAAAGAAATGGATTTTTCATTGACCTGCACGAAATTTGATTATTTGAATGGCTGTCTTAAAGGGTCCCAAGTAGCACCGAGAGGCTTCAGTGTTGCTCCTCATATATTTGCAGGCATGTGTGTGTTTGTATGTTTTCTCCTACACGTTTGACGGGGAAGTCTTATTAGATCAAACAGTGCCGGCAGTCAGTGAAAATGGAAATAGACGTTTTTGAGATTTTCAGTCAGAAAACAAAGGACATCGTGACTGTTTCTTTTTACCTCTGAAGAGTTAATCATTTATCAGTAACAGTGTATTTGAATCTAGAGGTATCTGAAGGATTCCTTAGGGATCAACAGAGTTATCATTTGGGAACTCCACTGACATAAATTTAGAGGACATATTAATCAATTTATGTTGGTTCATCGACTGCCTGTATATATGCTGGCAAAAGGCTTACAAAATGAAATGGCAGGTGTTATATATTATTAAAATACTAGAGGCCAGGTGCTCAAAATTCGTGCACAGGTGCGGTCCCTAGGCCTGGCCGGCAGTCGAAGCACAAGCGTCTGGCATGGAAGGGCAGGTCCCAGCTGACCTCTGGGCCCTGGGTAGCACCTGGGCCCCTGGACCCCTACGTGTCCTCCTCCGCCTGAGTCATAGCACCCAAGTCCCCACGCGGAGATGTAGTGAGCACAGCCAGAAGCTGCGGGCCAGGGAGCAGCGTGAGCCTCTGGGCCGCCCAGTGGCACTGCATGGAAGCTGGAGCAGTGTGCTCTCTCCCAGCCAGTCTTGCAGACCAGCTCTTGTGCGAACCCACAGGGAATCCGACCGGCCCCTGCAGTGGTGGCGGCTGCGGCCCTGAAGATTCACCTGGAAGCCCATTGGGGCTGGCCTTGCCTCCACTACCGCCTGTTGCCAGCATTTTGTCGCTGACACCCACCATGTTCTGCACTGCCCCCTGGTGGTCAGCACATGTCATAGCAAGCAGTCGAACTACTGGTCCAGGGGACAATTTGCATATTAGGCTTTTATTATATAGGATATTTTTGTATGATTCCCTTCATATCAAATACTTTTCTCTCTCACACACCCATATTTTCCTCTACTATTTCCACAATTTAAAAAACATTAGAATGTTTTCTTCAAAAAGTGAGTTCTGTTTACCCTCCCAACATCATGTAAACATGTAGTTGGTAAGAAGTCTTCATTACTAATCTACAGTAT